GTGAGGTGCTGCCGCGCGGCGACGGAGAGCGCGCCTCCGTAAAGACCGGCGAGGATCGGCCTGGCAGCTCGCCGGAGCAATGCGACGGACGCAGATGCCATGGGGTGAGAAGCAGGGAGGAGGCCGAGGTAATTTTTTGGTCTCAAAAAGCGTCACGAACTGACCGGAAAAAAGAAAATCCACACTTTCAATATGTAAAAGCGTCGCGGTAGGTGATGCTACAGGAGCGCGGGCTTTGTGTGCAAGGCCAATGAGTGAGATGCTGCCTTGACGATGAAACCAGGACGGAATCGACAGCGACGCAATGGAGGGAGATCACAAGGACGATGGCAAGAGCAGCGCCTGTAGTGGAAAATGGTGGTCAACGACGGTGGTCAGCAACAGTGGTCAGCAACGGGTCTCAGCAATGGTTGCCAATCCACTGATACCTAAAGCAATGCCTGAAAGCAGAACCTAAGGGATGGACACAAGGGGAGACTAAGTGAGAAAGAAAGAATTCAAGAAAGCTCATGGAGATGAAGCTGGCAGGAGATTGACATCAGGAGAAGCAGTTTCAACAACTGCGGTAAATCCTGGTTCGAGACGTTTCTGCACGGTTTCAGAGGTACTGAGTGCTGTAATGTCAACGTGCCAGCGTGTAAAATCAGACCCGAGAATCCAGGGGGGGGTGAGTCTCGCCAGCACATTACCTTGCCGTCCCACGCCAATCACGCTGCGCTGTGTGTTTGCCTCTGCGCTGATTGGCTCTTTCGGCAGCCAGATGCTCGTGTCTACTCATCCCGCTGCTGATAGGTTCATAAATCATGGGCTAAACATTTTCGTTACATCTGTCCAGCTCCTTAACTGTTGCGCAAGGAGAAAGTTTGCCACTACGCGATTATCAAGAGGACCTTGCAACAATAATCTAGAACAGCATTTAGCAATATTCACAATACTGGTATGTCAACAATACCTGTTCCCAGCTTTCACCCCCCTACGAGGAGCTACACTAAAGAAGCTCCCTGTACAGAAAAAACATTCAAACAGCTCCCAGAGCACCATTCATGCAAACCCATCACATTCACCCTTGCACCTCCCCCCAAAAGTAGTACCACCAAAACCAACCCCAACGCGTTTAGAGCACCCCATTCAACCATCATTCCCCCCACCACCCAGAAGCCATACCCTACCCCGACGAAGCAGCCAACTCCTCCTCGCCCTCACCTTCCCCACGCTTCTTCTGCAGCGCAAGCGTCCCGCTGAGCGCGCAGTAAAACCGGATCCACGTGAACCTGCTAACCATGGCCAGAACCACCGCCCCTTCCGCAAACAACCGCTGCAATGACGGCAAATCCGGGCCGCCAGGCCCTTCCAATGGCGACACCAATGGAGAAACGGACTGAGACACTAACGGGGAGACTCTGCAGGAGCAAGAGATGGTGGGGTGGTCTGTGCCCCTGACAGCCGCAGCAGCTCCATAACCGTCAGTGGCTGATACTTGGGCGGGTCGCTCATGACGATATTGTCCACCTTGTGCGAGTAGATCTTCCCTGAGCTGTCGAGTTTGTACTCTGACGTGCCGTCGAACCTGCCGTGCGCCTCCCAGGGGAGCCTGGGGATTCCGCGGACGGACCAGCGGATCTGGATGGTGCGGTCGTTGGGCTGCCACACGCGCAGCACGTCCACCCACAGTGCCTTGAAGAAGATCTTGCCGTGGAAGCGCAGCGCTTTGAAGATGAGGCGGTAGTTGTCGACGCCCTTGAACGAGTTCATGGGGTCCTGGAAGGTGATGTCCTCCCTGCATGGGGGATCATGGGGCAGCACAGGCAGAAGGGGAACAGGGGAACGGGGGAAAGGGAGGTGTGAGTCCACCCAGAGCGCTTTGAAGAAGTCTCTGTGGAAGCGCAAGGCCTTGAAGATGAGGCAGTAGTTGCCAACGCCCTTGAACGAGTTCATCGGATCCTGAAAGGTGATGTCCTCCCTGCATGAGAAGTAGGGGGAAGGGAAGGACACGGGTGGGGAGAGGGGGGTGCTACTACGAGATAATGACAGCCCAACACCAGCACACACCCTTTGAAATGCACACCTATAGATGTCGTATGTCATATCGTGGTATAAGAGAGTGGGGAGCTCCTCTCGGAGTGTTCTGATGGCGTACCCCACATTCACATAGTAGTCGTCCCGCAGCTCACTCACTCACACACACCCTCCCTCCCCAATGCACACCTATAGATGTCGTATGTCATATCGCGGTAGAAGAGAGTGGGGAGCTCCTCACGGAGCGTTCTGATGGCGTACCCCACATTCACGTAGTAGTCGTCCCGCAACTCGCCCTCCTTCTTCGGCTGTGGAGGGGGAACGGCCAGAGAGAGAACCCGAGGAAGTTGAGGGATGGAGGAAGACATAGAGGGACGGATAGCTGGACGAGCAGCATGGGGGGAACGAAATCAAGTGAGAAACGAAGAAAAAAAGAAGAAGAAAAAAAAACGGGACAGAGCAGGCATGCTTGAGAGAAGAGATCAGGCCCAAAGAAAGATAGAATGTCATTGCAATCCTGTGGACCGAATTGACTAGGAGACAGACCTCTAGATTCGTCTGGAGCTGAGTGGTGCTGCCAGGCGGGTCCGAGGTGGCAACTCCCAGTACATGCTGGTGTGGGAACTGCAGGCAAGCAGAGGACAGTGTGCGTCAGGGGGGAAGTGGGGGAAGGGGCGTTGAGGAGGGGAGTTACGAGAGAAAAACAGAGGAAAGGGAGGAGGGAGGATAGATGAGAGCAGCAGGAGCTGTGTAAAATTTGAGTTCTCGTGTGAAAAAGAAGGGAAGGAAAGGGGGGGGGGGGGGGGGAGGTGAGAGCAGGTGAAGGGAGTAAGCACCGAACAGCACGAGACACCACGGCTTGAGCGGGTGCAAGCAATCGCATACCTTTCCGCCATTGACTTGCTCCATATCCACCCTTGCCTTCTCTCCGGTCATGGCAACTGTGGAGCAGATAGCAGGAAGCGACAAAACATAATAAATTTGGTGAGAAGGAAAGAGGTCGGACTGACTGAGAGGAGACATACACGCACTCGGAGAGGGCTTAAAACGAGAGACATGGCGAGAAATCCCTTTTCCTGTCCATGGAGCTTAAAAAAAAAAGGGAGGAAAACACAGGGCAACCAGATGCATATGTCAGACAGCACTCACCCAGGGGAAGCAGGCTGCCCTCCCTTAGATAGTGCGTGGTTTGGAAGCTGGAGTCTCCCGCATGACCGGAACTAAGAATCTCAGAGTGCCCAGGAATCCCCGCGTGACCAGCACTAGGGATCTCCACCGGCTCCTCTGCCAACCCGTTGGCGTGCAGAAGCGCGCTGAACACGGAACGCCATCTCGCCATGTCTCCCAGCTCAGGCTCCTGCTGCTCTGGCATCGAAGTTAGCTGCACGCGTTCCGGACTTTGTTGAACGGATGCTTGTCCATGCGACAGTGGTTTCTGAGGCTGCTGAGCCCCGGGAGAGAGGAAAGATAGGAAAATACCTCAAGGTTGGATGGGGGGTGTAATAAGGAGGTAAGCTAGGCAGCTTATCCTCGTCGAACCGGAAGCAATAACTTAACGAGCGGTTGCTGGGGAGGGAGAAAGGAACTCGCAAAAAAGAACATTGTTCTTGAAAATCAGGAACTAATTTTAAAAAGTCGGTGGGTTGTAAGCAGACCTTGAAGTAGTTCTACCTTAAGGGGGGGTAAGACTGGCGTGGCTACTCGACCGGAGGAGCCTGAGCGACTGGCAGCCACCACGGCACCGCCTGGTACGGGAGGTCTGACCGCCATTTCTGCTGCAAAAATGTCGAATATGATACAGAACGAACATCAGTACGAAAGAATTAATGTACCTTCCTCGTAAGCCGCTCTGTTCTGGCAAATAGCGGAAATTGGCTCGACGGAACTAGATGGCTCTCCATCCAAGATCGGCTTGTTACCTGCGAGATTCATCATCGCAGCCGCCATTCTGACGCCCTTGGAAGAGATACGCTCTGATGTTGCACAAGTACGTGAAGGTATCTAAACGAACCAACCGGTGTGAGACTGAGCTGGGACGCCGCTGCAGGTTGAGCGATTATAATAGAAAATATCGGCTATCTACAGGACGTAATATCGACAAATGGGATGAGCGCTGGAAATTGAAAATACGCGTTCCACCAGTTCCTATCGTATTGACTCTCTAAATTAGCTGCGGATGGAAAGCCGCAAAGAAATGACACCGTGTAAGGTCTGTGTCTTTCACTTTAACTCCTGAGTCGACTCAAAGAGTCACCCTATTTCCTTCGCTTGCACTTCTGCTCACTCTCGGAAAAGGGAAACACCTCGCTTCAGCTAGACACCACGAACTGAAGCTGGTATTCCTGCCGAGGACTGTTCGTCAAGAAACAATCCCTGGCGCTCGAAAGTTTAGTGAAGTTGCCTCAATGAAGAGTCGTAATAATCCGACTCCAGATAGACCTATTCCTAGATTTCCTCAAGTCGCTCAAGCTCCTAAAATTCCTCCTGAAAAGCATGTGCAGTTGGCGATGCTCCTAGGGCATGCTACTGGCTGCAAGCCTTTCTCCCTAGTTCCTGGAACCATGAGTTCCCTCCCGAGGTTCTGTACGGTACTATTGTAGCATTGTAGGGTACTGTATCGCGAATCCCCATGCCTGGCAGTCGGAATATCCGAGCTGACGGCTGAGCATCTTGACGGCCAAGGTACAAGGTGACAGGCAGGCGAAAACTGACAGGCTACGAAAAAATGGATAACGAGGGTGGCGACGTTCGCCAATGAGCTCGCTCGACCACACGCTTTGGGGGGGCTTCTCGAAGGAGCACAAGATTGTCGCACAGAGAAGCTGGAGTCATCCTCGTTGTAAGCACAGCCCTTATGCCTGCTGGAAGTCGTGGCAAGAATCGCGACCACGTCACTGCTCACGGAGTCCCCCTGGATGGCTCTGCGGCTCGATGAGTTGCCACGTGATCCAGGAGAGGGACGGCCGTCAATTGCATTTGCCTAGCCAAGAGTCCGTAACTAAATCATTTACAGTAAATAGCAACCCAACACAAAAGTGGAACACATCCACAACAACCCAAAGCTCACATAACTACTACTCCTATCCTGTGGAGCTATCCTCTTGTAGATGCTCGCCTTAGCTCCGCGGGCTCGTCGTTATCAGCTTTTGATAAAGCCTCGCCATTTCTAGCACCACTAGTTGCTGGCCTCCTACCTCCGCTACTACTTGGTCGCTTGACTACAGGCAAAGGACGCTCAAATCCATACGGGATTTTACTGTCCGCGCTTCCGGAGCTGATTCCACCGGAATGGTGATGTGTGGTGCTGCTTGAAGCACCAAGCGTGCTAACACCGCCCATGCTTCCAGCGCCAATGCTCCCACCACCGGTCACACTACTCCTTCCCCCACTTACGACACTAACATCGCCAGTGCTTCTTTTGTTGTAATGGCCACCAGTGGCTAAGCCTCTTGGAGCAGCAGCAGGATCACTACCAGCAGCACTTACTGTGCCACTAGCAGCACTACCACCAGCACCAGCAGGACCTCTACCAGCAGCAGCACCACTCGCACCACCACCAGCAGCACTTACTGCACCACTAGCACTACCACCACCACCAAATCCACTAGCACTGCTACCGCTACCACCACCGCCACCACCACCGCCGCCACCGCCGCTGCCACCTCTGCCACCACCACCGCCGGCACCACTACTTCCGCCACCACCGCCACCACCTAGCATGCTCCCTCGCCCATCAAAACTGCCAGCACCACCACTCCCACTGCTGCCAATACTTGTGCTTAAATTACTGCTCCTCAGGCTGCTGTGCCTCCCTCTCTCCTGCTCGCTCCTCCCCCTCTGCAGCACCCTCAGCGCGCCTCCGATACTCCGACTTAACGAATTCCTCCTCGATCTAGGGGGCGTTGCCCCTCCCCCCGCCCCGTCTCTTAGGCTCCTCCCATCCTCCTCTCCTGCACCCTCCCCCTCCCACTCCTCCTCATCCCTCTCCACCCACACGCTCCTGAGCCTGTCCCTGCGCATGCCTAGCCCCGTGGTGCACTCGCATGTGACTGCATCCGAGGGCCGATTGGACAAGAGCGAACCAGAGGAAAGGCTAGAGGAAGAGCCTAAGAGGAAAGGCAGTGAGGTTTTTAGAGGTGGAGTGGTGGGGCGGGAAGAAGGGGTGGTGGGGCGAGAGGAGGAGGATGGAGCAGTAGAGGGGCGAGGGCTTGACGAGAGGGAGGTGCCATGGGGAGAGGCATGTGGGGCAGAAGCAGAAGAGAGGGGAGGCACAGGAGAGGCGGAAGCAGCAGCAGCCACAGCAGCAGGAGGAGTGGCGGGACGGAGCTCTGGAGGCAGGGAGGAAGCAACCTGGCCTTCTCTACCACATGAGCCGTCTAGAGAGAAGGACGGCAGTGCTTGCAGCCGCGCAACCTCTTGTGACTGTGCCTGTGCTTCTGCCTCTGCCTGTGCTTCTGCTTGTGCTTTCATCGCCTGGGCCTGGGCCTGTGCCAATGCCTGTGCTTGCAACCCTTCTGTTGTGACAAACGGCTCGTCACGCGTCTCCTTCCGCGCATTGAGCCGCTGCAAGCTAGCCACAGGGGCGGGGGACTTGGGTGTGGCGTCGAAAACCACGCAGGTGGGGGAGAGCAGGGCGGGGGGGACGGGGGCTCGGAAGGTGGATGCCACGCGGGCGTGAGAGGGAGGTGTGATTGTAATGGATGGCGCGGACTGCTGCGATAGGCCGAGGGGACTCACTGGGCGATCTAGGGAGGCAGAGGCCCCCTCTGTGCTGCTGCTGTTGATGGCACCAGGACCCAGCTTGGATGGGCCGTGGGGCGATGATGGACCAGGTGAGCCTTCCTTGGTTACACCTTCCCTGAACCCACCTGCTGCAGCTGCTGCTGTTTTTTCTCCCCTATCCCCGTCACCAATGCCACTGCTGCTGCTGTGGCTGCTGTCCCCACCCAGAACAGCCGGAGAATCCGCAAAGCGAACGTAAGCCCGAGGGGATCGAGGTGGCACATCTGCAGACCCACCCCCTGCTGCTCCCGCACCCCCAGCAGACCCCCCCCAAGTATCACCCGCAGCCCGGACATACCCCCTGGGGGACCTCAGGTTGTCACCTCCCCCAGAATCACCTGCTGCTGCAGCGCGCAGGTACCCCCTTGGGGAGCGTGGGGCATCTCCCCCTGCGGTTAGGTCCATGCTGTTGGCAGCTGAGCCACGGAAGGGCGGGCGAACAGGGGGCTGGGAGGGGGGGCGCGGTTTCAAGGGGCCTCTGGGGGAGGTGAGGGCGTCAGGTGATGAGGTGGGAGGCATGGCAGAGGGGGGCAGGGCAGAGGGGAGTATGGCAGAGGGGTGCAAGGGGGGCAGAGATAGGGAGGAGGCGGCTTCAAGTGAGGGTAAGTCAGAGGGTGGTACAGAGGAGGGAGAGAGCAGAGACGGAGAGAGCAGAGAGGGAGAGAGGAGAGACGGAGAAAGAGGGGAGGGAGAGAGAGGAGCCGTGGTTTGGCCTGAGGCGGCTGCAGCCGCTGCGGCTGGTACAAGGGGGCTTGCTTTCGATGCCGGGAGGGGGCGTGGGGCCTTCAGAATCCATCCTGACGAACCAGAAGCAGCAGTAGCAGACGACCCAGCAGCGACAGAAGCCGACGTGGGAAACTTAGGATGGCCAGAAGCAGCTCCAGCAGCAGCAGAAGCAGCAGAAGAAGCGACAGAAGCTGATGTGGGAAACCTGGTTCGGGCCGAGGCAGCCGCAGAGGGAGAGACCGCCCTTGGAGCCGACACTGACTCTGATTTCACTAGAAAGCTCGCAGCAGGAGCAGCAGCAGAGGACCCAGTGGGGGACAGCGGCACGGCAGCCCGCGGCGACAGCTCTGCCACTTTCCCCTTGGCTGTCACCTTGCCGACCTCAGTGGCTGGTTCAAACACCATGGGGAGCGGCGCGCCGTGTACTATTCCTGCGGCGGCGCGCTTGGGCTTGAAGATTCCAGAGATCATGACGGGCCGGGGTTTCTTGGAGTCTGCGGAGGTTTTGTCGAGCTTCTTCCGGGCCTCGGCGGCTATGGCTTCCATCTTGCGCGAGTTGAGCTGGGTGAGGTTGGAGGCGTCGGAGGCCACGAGGCGGGAGACGCCTTCTAGGGCGTCCAGGAGGGAAGCGTCCACGATCGACTTCTGGGCGTGGTACAGGGTCTGCAGGGAGAGGGGACAATGAGGAGCGGAGGGGGAAATTGGGGAGGGGGGGGGGTCTTGAGTTGAGCTGTGTGGGGTTGGAGGAGTCTGAGGCCAAGAGGGAGGATTCGCCTTCTAGGGGGACCAGGGGGAAGCATCCATGATCGACTTCTGGGCGTGGTAGAGGGTCTGGGCTGGGGTTGAGAGAGGGGAGGGAGGGAGGGAGGGAGGGAGGGAGGGAGGGAGAAAGGGAGGGAGGGAGGGAGGGAGGGAGGGAGGGAGGGAGGGAGGGAGGGAGGGAGGGAGGGAGGGAGGGGAGGGAGGGAGGGAGGGAGGGAGGGAGGGAGGAGGGAGGGAGGGAGGAGGGAGGGAGGGAGGGAGGAGGGAGGGAGGGAGGGAGGGAGGGAGGGAGGGAGGGAGGGAGGGAGGGAGGGAGGGAGGGAGGGAGGGAGGGAGGGAGGGAGGGAGGGAGGGAGGGAGGGAGGGAGGGAGGGAGGGAGGGAGGGAGGGAGGGAGGGAGGGAGGGAGGGAGGGAGGGAGGGGGGAGGGAGGGAGGGAGGGAGGGAGGGAGGGGAGGGAGGGAGGGAGGGAGGGAGGGAGGGAGGGACGAAGGGAACAATCGGCTACATAGAAATTAGTGCCCGCTCACCTGCACTCCGAGGAAGCGTGTTGCCTTGCTGTTTGAAGACGACTGCACTGTGATGGCATTGTTCCATGCTATCGTGTAGTGCGCCAATGATGGGTAGCACACTCAAGGCACCACCGTGTAAAAGGTCTCTCCTCACCTGAACCCTCAGTAAGCGCGTTGCCTTGCGGTTAGAAGATGGTTTCACCGTGATGGCATCGTTCCATGCTACCGTGTGCTGCGCAAGCAGCGGCAGCAGGCTGAGCGCCTTCCGCATCCTCCTCTCCCACTCCTCCATCTCCTCCTCCTCGTCCTCCTCCTCCCCCCCACCTCCTCCTCCTCCTTCACCACCCACACCTCGCGGATCGTTCAACGGACTGGGCTTCTTGAGCCATGTGAATTGATCATCGTCATCATCACCCCCCTCCTCGTCCTCCTCATCCTTATCCTCATCAGCGTCCCTGTTCTCCGCATTCTTTCCCCTGGCGGCATCTTTTGTCTTGGTGTCTTTGCACTTGGTGGAGGCGACAGGCTTGGAGAGGCGCAGAGCGAGGTCCTTCTTGGTGTTATAGGTCAGGAGGCCGTACAGCTCGTCCCTGAAATGGGAAAGAAGTAGGGAAAACGGGGGCCGGGGGGGGGGGGAGAGGAGGTGGCAGGCTTGCTTGTACAGGCGCAGCGCAGAGCAGAGCGATGCCCTTCTTGGTGTTGTAGTATAGTATGTTGGTAGACCTTAGAGCTCCTCTGAGCTTCTTGGCCAGGTTGATGAAATTGGCATATCGCTCGCTGCGCCGCACTCATTACAACAAGCTCTCACCTTTTGAGTCGACTCAAAAGCAGACTCTCATTACAACAACCTCTCACCTTCAACATGGATTGCCTTCACATGTTCCCACCAGCAGCCATGAAGGGGACGCGGGGCATTCTATGAGCTTCTCCCACAGGATGATGCCCTTGGCTTGACTGACACTACAACCTTTATAATGACTGACCCAAACCATTTATAATCACCTACCTCGTGTTCCCAGCAGCCATGAAGGGGACACGGGGCATTTCCTGAGCTTCTCCGACAGGCTGATGACCTTGGCGCATTGCAACACTTTACTCTTTATAATGGCTTGCCCAATCCATTTATAATCGCTCACCTCGTGTTCCCAGCAGCCATCAAAGGGTATTTCATGAGCATCTCGGCCAGGTTGATGACTTCAGCGTATCGCAGCGCCAGTCCCCTGGGTCCTTTCAGCCCACAATCTCCCGCCAGGTGAATGACCTTGGTATAGAGCGGCGCCATACGTTCTATAATCATTCGTATCTCACTCACCTTGTATTGCCGGCAGCCATAAAAGGGTACTTCATGAGCTTCTCCGCCAGGTTGATGACCTTGGCGTATCGCAGCGCCAGTCCGGCTCGGCCCAGTGAGTCCTCGCGAGTCAACGCATCGGAGGAGCGCACGTTGATGGCAAAGACGGATATGATTCTGTCTCTCAGTAGGATGATTGCCAGCACCAGCAGCTGAAGGGAGGTGTGGAGAGGTGTGGGGAGGTGTGTTGGGGGGGGGGCGGGGTAGGGTGGGGGGGGGGGGTGGGGGGTTTGGTGGGGAGGGTAGGAATGCGAGCCAAGGCATTAGAGGAGCGTGTGCTGATGGCAAAGGCGGATATGATTCTGTTATTCGTTTTAGGAGGATCGCCAGCACCAGCGGCTGAAAGAGATGGGTGCGGAGGGGGCAGGTAAAAGGAGGAGTGTGCTTTTTTAAGTTCTGAAAACAGCACCACACAAGTGACCACCACACCACCCATCACAAGGACATGGTCATGCCAGCAAAGGCGGGTGATATCACACCACCCATCACACCAGCACAGCAATTTCCCATGACAATTGACCATGGAAATTGACCATGGCAATTGACCATGGCAATTGACCATCACTCACCCTAACCACATGATCGAGCTCCACGGACCACAGGCACCGGCTCTGCAGCTCCGATATGGTTGCCGTCTGCACGTAGCATTACGGCCAGACAAGGCGGAATGCAAGGGGTAAGGGAAAGGGGGTGAAAAGGGGTGAAAATGGGTGAAAATGGGTGAAAATGGGTATGGTAGAGGTAAAGTGAGGAAGGGCCACAGGCCCACAGCCAGCACTTAAAAAAACATCAATGCCACATGCTATGGATGGATCACAGAGGGCTCACGACGCCGTGCAGGTAACCTGGTAACCCGGTAGCCGCACCAGTTTGAGGATCTCTTCTGCCCCTGGCAGGTCGCACCGAGGCATCCAAGAGGACGAGTCACTCTCCTTCTCCGGCTCGCCCTTTCCGTCGCTGCTGCCATCGTCCATCGTATCACTGGGAATGGGGGGGTGGGAGGGAAGAAGGGTGAAAGAGAAATAGAAAGCAAACAGCACGGAGACAGGTAGGATGAGAGAAGCAATATCATGGTCCATTAATTTTGTGCTAGATATGCCGCTTTTACATTGTGAAGATGCACACGTGTAGAAGCACATAGAAACCGCACAGAGAGCATACACACTGAGCACACACACTGAGCGCACACACTGAGCACACACACTGAGCGCACACACTGAGCGCACACACTGAGCACACACACTGAGCGCACACACTGAGCGCACACACTGAGCGCACACACTGAGCACACACACTGAGCGCACACACTGAGCGCACACACTGAGCACACTCACCGAGTGCAGATAGAACAGGAAGCGAGGAGAAGGAAGAGGGACATACGCCGAGACTGCTTGCAGCTCTGAGAGGAGGCTTGTGGCGGGTGCAGGCTTCTTCTTCCTGCAGGGAATGGCAGGGAGGCATGACAGTGGTAAAGCATGTCACGGTTGAGGAACGAATAGTGGCAAGGAAGGCATGGCGTTTCCTTGCAGAGAGCACATTGCTGGCCTCCCCTCCTCACCTTGCAGGGAGCGTGGTGAGCACATAATTTCCCCTCTCCTCTCTGCCACCGTAGCAGGGAGTGCAGTGCGTTGCGTCGTGGCCATGTCACTCCAACGAGCCCACCTGAGCTGATGCATGCAGTGAGCGCATCGCGCACTGCACCGCACCTTAGCAGTGAGAGCACACCTTTTCCCCTCTCGTCTCTCTCACCTTAGCAGGGAGCGCGTTGAGCACACCTTTTCCGCTCTCCTCTCTCTTGCCTTAGCAGGGAGCGCGGTGAGCACACCTTTTCCGCTCTCCTCTCTCTTGCCTTAGCAGGGAGCGTGGTGAGCACACCTTTTCCGCTCTCCTCTCTCTTGCCTTAGCAGGGAGCGCGGTGAGCACACCTTTTCCGCTCTCCTCTCTCTCGCCTTAGCAGGGAGCGCAGTGCATTGCGTCGTGGCCATGTCACTCCAACGAGTCCACCTGCGCCGACACAGTGAGGCGCAGCGCGCACCTTTGCCCCGCTCCCCTCTCACCTTAGCAGGGATCGCAGAGTGTTGAGTCGCTCCATGCAGCTCCGCACGTCCCCCAGCTTCTCCACCTCCTCCTGCATGAAGCTGTGAGGATGCGGGGATGGGGTAGTGGGGGATACGCCAGGAATTGAAACGAATCACCAGACTGTTAAGTCGCTCCATGCAGCTCCGCACCTCCCCTAGCACCTCCTCCTGCATGAAACTGCAAGGATGCGGGGATGGGGTAGTGGGGGATACGCCAGGAATTGAAACGAATCACCAGACTGTTAAGTCGCTCCATGCAGCTCCGCACCTCCCCTAGCACCTCCTCCTGCATGAAACTGCAAGGATGCGGGGATGGGGTAGTGGGGGATACGTCAGGGCTTGAGACGGAACACCAGACTGTTGAGTCGCTCCATGCAGCTCCGTACCCCCCCTAGCACCGCCTCCTGCATGAAACTGCGTGACGGGAGAGGAAGAGGGGTTATGTGGACTGGAATAACAAGCATGATTCGTCCGGCTCCTCGGGACGCAAAATCCCCCAAAAGAGTACTTATAAGATCCGCACAACCAACCAGACACAGACTTCAGAAAGCGCCACTCACCAGAAGAGCGTCTCCTGCTCCTGGGCGTCGAGCCTACAGTGTGAGCAGACGGTCCCTGGATGCCTCATCTCTCCAAACACATTCGCCAGCTGGTGCAGCCGCCTCTCGACGCACTAGTGCTTCGGTACCACTAACCAGAACAAGTGAGCAGGCGCAACTCACCAGAACAGCGTCTCCTGCTCCTGGGCGTCGAGCCTGAAGTGTGAGAAGACTGTCTCGGGGTGCCGCATCTCCCCAAACACATTCGCCAGCTGGTGTAGCCGCCTCTCCCCGCACTTGAGGCCCATTGCCGCCACCCGCTCGCCCATCCTCTCTAAGACCTCCATCAGCTCTAAGCCTAAAGGGGGGGAAAGGGGTAGCATTTTGGGGGGGGGGGGGGGGGGGGAAGGGGGATGTGGCATTGGGTGGGGACGAGGGTAGAATTTAGGGGGAACGGGGGTGGCAAATGCGGGGAGGAGTAATGTTTGGCGGAATGGAAGTTATCATGCTCAAAGCTCAAGGCTTGACATGATGTCAAGGGAGTGAGAGGTCTGATGCTGAGAAAGGCATGCCTGCATGTGTCCATACCTGCTAGAGTCCATGCCTGCATGTGTCCATACCTGCTGCTAGAGACCATGCCTGCATGTGTCCATACCTGCTAGAGTCCATGTCTGCATGTGTCCATACCTGCTAGAGTCCATAGGTGCATGTGTCAATACCTGCTAGAGTCCATGCCTGCATGTGTCCATACCTGCTAGAGTCCATAGGTGCGCGGGGTCAGGGCAAACGTAAGTGAGAACAGCCTTGTCCTCCTGGGGCATGTGAAGGTACGCACGAGTGAGGGGGGAGAGGGGGGAGAGGGAGGGGGGGCGGAGGGGTGCGGGGGGGGAGGAGGAGGGGAAAGGGGAGGGGAAGTGGGGGTGAGGACGCGCAAAGGCATGGGGGATGGGAGCATGTGAAGTTGCGATTGGGTGCATTATTGCGTTGAGGGGTAGACTGATGAGAAAACGACGCATGGGTTTATGGATGCATGAATGCATAGGTGCGTTCTGAATGCACCGATGTGTGGCTCTGGTCATGGGTTTATGGATGCATGAATGAGTGGGTTTGCAGGCATGAATGTGGACACGGGTACACGAGTGGGGATTCGCGATCATAGATCGCCTCACGGATACATAGGTGCATTCAGAAATAAGAACGTGCACCCATTCAGAGGTACTGATGCATGGATCTGATCTCGTTACATGAATGTATGATTGTAAGCACCACCGTCATAAACCTACATCCACCAGGTTGCATCCAGATGATCGAATCCGCACCAGCAGCAGCAGGCGCAATGGATTCGTTATTGAAGTTTGGGTGAGAACCCTAATCTCTTGAATGTTCTAGCGTTCTTGCGTTACATGTTCATGCGTGACAATGCACACTTCGCAACGAACGAATGTGTTACATTAGCGAACAAAAGATTGCTCACGCCATAATGCAGAGGCTGCTCTGAGACCGTCTTCTGATCCATGCCTGTATTTCCTGGCAGGTGACTCTGTTGCCTGAGACGTGGCTGTGTTTCCTGACTCCGCTTACCTGGAGGTTCGTCCGCAGCCGTTCGATCTGTTCAGGGCTAATCGTCGACCAGAGCCATAGCAGCTTTCGCATTATGGCGGCAGTCTCGATCGACAGGAACTTGGCTTCTTCAACGCATTGCTGAGGCTTCGTCGGCGGAAACGGAAGCTGGTCCTTTTTCGACTTCTTCCGTCTGCCAATCGTCCCTCCGCCGCTGCGACCGATCGTTCCGCCGCCGCTCCGCCCGATGGTTCCGCCTCCTGTCAAGCTAAGCGACGCGGGTATGGTGTTATGGTACACTCTTTTCGCGAGCTCTAGAACTGGTTCTGGTAACCCGCCTGGTTTGGCTACTTTTTCGCTGACGGCGTTCGCGACCGTTGACGATTTCATCAACGGGATCCCGCCGAGACCGAAGATGAGGCTGTGGTGATACGCCATGTAAGCTGACTGCACGACGCGAAGCAATATTATTCTCTATTTTGATATCCGGATTCGAACTAGTCAGCTGGCGTGACCCCACCTGAAATAAGATACAGCTCCGTTATTTGACATGAGCCTCGTCACACAGTAGAGGTAACCGAAAGATTATGACAGAAAACGGTGCATCTGGGAACCTATTGGCGATGCCTGGCAGCCAAAGGGTCTCCGTGACGCTCTGTTTTTCGAGCCACGCCACTAGCATTGAAGGAGTTTACGGAGTCACGCAAAATGTAAGATTGAAGATACAAAGCGATACTGAGCAGTTCACAAATCAGATGCTGTCAGGAGAACCAGGTTGGTGTGGGACTAGCCAAGGCATTGTGATTCAAGGACAACAGGTGGTTCAGGAATGCGGTTGATGCCTGTATGTTCGCTTGGGAATACCCTGCTGTCAGTCAGGGCTCCTCCTGAAGGTTTTCAGCAGGATCCTCTAGGTGTTGCCGAGCAGCAGAAGGGGTTGGACGGACGGAGACGGTGACGGAACGGAGAAATGGCGGCAGGGAAGGGAGGTGAGGTCTTCTTCTGTTTGGTTGGGCTGCCCTGCTCAAATCAAACCAAACTGGAGTTCGACTGACAGCGAGTAACGATACCGTCAAATGGAATGTGGATTTGACTGCAGAACAAAGCTGTTTCAGCCGGGCAGATTGAAGCAATTCGATAGGCTGGGCTTTTCGCAGGAGGACAGAAAGCTGCGGATTGGTTGGTGTTGGGCTCGTCCCGAGGGACTCTGGTCTGGTGCGAGGGAAGGCAGAGGGAGTTCCACGAGGAGGGAGATGCCAACCGGGTTAGGTGCAACCATCTGAAGGCCCTGGCGAGGGCACACAGAGCCAGGGCCAGCAAGGCAAAATAGAAGGCCCTTGTGTGCTGGACTACACTTTCTGAACTGGTTAGAGAATTCAACTTTGAATATTAAATTTTATCTCTTCACATAACATAATATGCCGTTTAATTACGCGGTTTTAGAATATTGTGGATAATTATGGTTTTTTTTACTTCAGGTATTTTCCAAAGAATTTCATGGGTAGTGTGGTGGCGTATCAAAAGGGAAAGTGATTTTTAGGGTGGAATTTATTATAATGCTTTCGTTTTTCCAAGTCTCACCACGAAAGGGACTCTACCTCCTTGAAAGGACTATATATATATGTGATGGGCTACACCTATGACTGCATTGGCATACCTATGGCTTTCACAGCCCCCCACGGTGGCTCACTGCAACGAATCTACCTGTGGCAACCCCCCTCCAGATCTTCGTTTGATGCAAAGCCAGTTTCTTTCAGCTGAAAACTTCTTCTGGCTGTTTTGCTCCAGCTGTCACATCTGCAGCAGCAGCAGCCACACCCGCAAAACCGTTTCTTTTCTAAGTCATCACCGACCGATTCAGCGATGCTGGAAGCAAGAGCACACTGCCTGCTGTCAGCATCTCTCGCCTACTTTTTTCTCACGTAAGCTTGGTATTTCGTTCTAATCTTTGAGAAATCCTCTTAGTTTCGCTTAGACCTTCCTCCTGCATTTCTGACATCTCCATTGATGCCATGTCGGAGGATCTGTTTTCGGAGATCGAAGAGCTTGCTCCGAGATTTGCCGATGGAAACCTCGGATCCTTAGATCCACTGCAACGAGTAATTTCCGATCTTCTATCTAAATCCAAGGACCGGACATGGCTCGAGAATGACGCGGACGTCGCCGGCGGGATCGCCGTTACGCGATTGATCAACCTTCTCCCTGATTTTTCTCGGCATTGTCCCGAGCTGTATGGTCTTCAGCGGTCCAGCGACGTGTCCGGCTCATCGGTTACTGACGGATGTCAAGTACCTGCTTCTTCAAGCTTCATTGAACGGCTATCTACTAATTGGTCGATTTCTCCAGATCCAGATCTAGAAGAGCCGTTAGCACCAACATCAGATGCTAATGTTGCTCCATCCGAGGTTACTATTTCAGCATCTGATGCTAATATTGTTGCAGCGAATGCTGGTGTTTCTTCCGCAGCACCCGCAATCCGACCGCTGGTGCAAGTCCTTCGGATTATTCGGAACTTGCTCGCCGGCCTCGCCTCGAATCAAGACGCGTTTCTACAATGCGGTGCTTTGGACGCTGTGGCTACTATCGCGGATCGGCTTATATCGAGTCACATCGTCCTTCAAAATCCACTACCGGGCGCCGCTCCTTCCGGTGGAAATCTCGCTGCTGCAGCCGGCACCGCCAACGTCTCCGCAGCATCAGCCGCGGATCAACCAGCATCTGGCCCCAACGCTTCAATCAGCAGTGGAGATTCGAGCCAAGTGGCATCTCAACTTGCAAGCCTGAAAGTGGATAGCGGAGCAGCTTCTTCCGCCAGCACGGCCGACGGGCGCTCGTCGTCAAAGCCTGCGCCTGCACCGCCGTCTGCTTCCGCCACGGGTTCCACACCCGCGCCTTCCGCGCGCATGCTCAACCGTCCCCCGCCATAGCGACTTCTGCCGGGGGAGCTTCCGCCAGCGCAGCCAATCGGCGGAAACGGTCCATCAACAGGAAGGTCACCGGAACGCTCTCTTTACCCCTCCTCTCCCCTTCCGCGGCATCCTTCGGGGCTCTTCCCGGCGCTCCCTCTCCTGCGGGCGGCGCAGCGGCTCTCGCGCAAGGGTCTCCGATGGCGGGGGGAGGTCCGGGGACCCCCATGTCGCCCATGTTCTACTCGTCGCTGCTGCCGCCGGCCTCGCCGTCCGTGCTGCATCTGGCGCTGCAGATCGACCTGCCTCGTGATTACGTGGATGCATTGAAGGCTGTTCTCCAGGTAAGGGTTTTTGCTCTCGGCTCTTCAGCGTCCTTATCCCCTCATCTTCCCAAATCAGATTCCTTAACCTTGCTGTCTTACGCATTTTCACAATGCCGTTGACAAGTCACAGTTTCCGCATGCGAAATCGCCTCGCCCCTTCACCCTTCCGAGATTTCCTCGCCCCTTTACCCCTGCGGAAATCGCCTCGCTCGCCACCGTTGCGGCGCATCTGACTAAAGCGGCTGGCTCCTCATGCCACGCACGCCTATACGCGGATGCAAAATCAATCTCGAGAGGACCCATTGGCACGAACGGGTGCTTTCTTATCCGTGCACCTGACTTCTTTGACTAAGGGGCCTCACATGACTCGTCCTTCAAGTGCACCCTCCAGTTTTCGTTGCAGCCCCTTTCTTTTCTGGACATTGCTGCTCACCCCATTTCAACTTCCCCTTTCCCATGCTTCTCACATGTCCTCTGCCAACCCGATCCCTCTGTCGTCCCCTTTCCCATGCTTCTCACTCACAGGTGATCGGCAACTTCGCCAACGCAGGCGAGCTGCACCAAACGGCCGTCTGGGACCGCTGCTTTCCTGGAACCTTCTCCCGGCTGGCGACAGTCCGGTCCGCGGCGGTGCAGCGGGCGCTGTGCATGGTGCTCTTCACGTGCTGCCGCGCCGTGCCGAAACACGTGGAGGGGCTCGGCGGGTCTATGGACGGCGTGGCGCTGCTGGCTGGCGTGCTGAGAGCGCAAGGAGAGGCGCTCGTAGCTCGCAAGGAGAGGAAGGACGGGGGCAGCAGTGGTGATGCTTTCTCAGGTACGCACTGCTGACTGCCATTTCGCATCCTCGTGCACAACTCTTTAGACAAGCCAAAAGCAGTCCTTTTCCACCCTTCGTTTTCCTTATTTTCCCATCCTTGCCGTTGCTCGTCTCTGCTCTCCAGCTCTCCCAGGCGACGCCTCAAACGGAATGGACGAGTGGCTTGGCTTACTCATCGAGCGCCTCTGCCTGCGCGGCCGCTACTTTGAGCCAGTTTTCAAGAACCTTCCCAACTTCTCGCCTCGCCCTGCCCTCGGGCAGGTTCGAGGGCTGTTTTGCCCGGAACAAGCTGCCCTGCTGTGGGTTCTGTGGGGCGCACTACACGTCCACTGCGAAAGCGCGGGGGATATCAGGAATCGACGTACCTGCTGGTCCAAACCTGGAGAGCGACGTTTTAAACAAACCGGCTGCTCCTGGTTCCAGATGGCACGCCCACGGCTTGCCTGACATTGGACCAGGGACGCTGAAATTCCTCCTGACCGCGTGCAGAAACGCAGCTGCTGGTATTGGCAAGGCCCGGGAGGAGGCAGGGAGCACGGGGTCCTCCAACGGGGCACCACCATCCACATCCAGCGCCAGCTCCTCCTCAACCTCCTTCACGTGCCTCCAGCTCGTCCTCTGCTTCTCCCTCCGCTGCCTCCGCATCCTCGCTGCTCACGACTCAACTCCCCCATCGCACCCCGCTGCCGCAGCCTCTGCAGAAACCTCAGCAGCAGCAGGACAAGGCACAGAGTCGAAATCAAGGGTAGAGGATGCGTTTGTTGCGATCGGAGGGTCTGAAATTATTCCGCTGCTGTTGGATCTCCTCCAGGGGCTGACCGGGCCTGGAGGGCAGAGTGGGCAAGGGAGGAGGGAGGAGGCATACCCAGGATATAGATCTGACTTGGTGTCAGTGCTTGCAAATGCGTGCCACCGTCGCCCCACGTATCAAGATGCCGTCAGAATGTATAAATGTACAGGAGGGGATGCAGGTAGCACCAGTGGCGAGAATGTATCTGGCCTTGCTCTGGTTGCCAGGCAATCCATGGCAGATTCTACGACCAGCAGCAGTGCATCTGGTGGAGAGAGTTTGAGGGAGTGGGTGTGCTTTGCGGTGCGCTGCTTGGTGGAAGGGAATGAGGATAGCAGGAGGGAGCTAGCAGCAGCCGTGCAGTCGGGATTAGTTTCTCAAGAGATGTCGGAAGCAGCTGGTGTGAAGTCCTAGGCCAGGCTTTAGGATCCGACTTTATGAAACCATGTCATAGTGTAGCTAATGTGTTGTATGGCTCTGCTCTAACAGCACAGTCGAAGCATGGTATTTCTTGTGATGCTGCCTTTCTAGCAGCCGTTGCTGCTGTCTGACTGCTGGTTATGTGGAATGGTACTCACACGTGGTGCTAGCTGGTACTTCAGTGTATGCTACGGTGCCTCAAATCAAAGCAGCAGACCAGCAGAGCAGAATTGCACAATGTTTGAGACCCCTTTTGGCTGCTGTGTTCCCCCAGCGCGCTGCTGTCAGACCACAGTATCGAATTCGAATTGATTCAGTATCGAGTCAAACCACGCATGATGGGGCGTTGTCTGACCAGTTCTGAACTGCCACAAAGCGGTGACAGTTCATCAAACGTCAGTTGAGATCAGTTCAATTTGGTGATTTGCGGTCACTGCTGTAAATTTGTGGGACGCGAGGGCGGAGCTTGTTTCACTCCAGGAATGAGCACAACGGGCGGCCAGTGCGCGAGCTGTGTGTAGCGCACGGCATTCCCCGAGAGGCCACTTTCTCTAATGGTGCGTTC